TAAATAATAATCGCAACGTTCGTAACGACGGATATTAAATGAAATTTATTATCGTGGAAATTAATTAAAAATATATGTCTCCGGATATATGGCGAGCGAGGCAGAACGAGGAGTCGCGTGTTATTTTACTAATATATGGCGCACATTAATGGCACCGGTCGTAATTAGTGTTGAATACGTTTACGAACGTCAGACGGTCGAAAAGCTGTAACTGAGAAGCGTAGTCCGCCAGCAGCAAAATTTCGCTTTACACTCTTTCGTCGAAATGTTTGACTGCAACTTAAATCCTGCTCTTTGTACGCGTGGCAACAATCAGTAAATTGAAGTTTGAATATACAAACGCGGACCAGTTGTCTTGCACGCTAATTAAATTCCACGTACACGTTGTTTACACCTATAATATTGACAGAAACGAACAAGTTGAACGTGACGCAGAACGAGTAAGAGTTTTTTTGTGGCACAGTCAGTTTTAAAAAAGGAGACTCGCCTTTTTCAGTTCGAAACTATTTACGGTTTTCTAACGGTTTAAAGAATATCACATGTGGATTATCATATATCCAGATGAGGGCCCGAAATGTCATTGGGGATTATTTATAACATGTAATTTAAACTATATCTGAACTATGACACGTATAATAGTTTCTATAATATTGCAGTAGCATGTACGCATATATGTATAATAAATATATCGATTAAACGATATACATAACCTAAGCCAGGCTTAACCTGTGGTTCGTGGATCGCGAAGGGGCCATAAATAGATATCGGGGTTAGAACTTGCACACAGAAATTTTAGGTTAGGCCTAAAAATACCAATTTTTGATAGCTATTAGACTAAAATAAATTTTACCAATTATGTCGTGTACAGAAAAAATACAAGCCTTCCCGACTAAGCTACTGACATCGAAGAGAAGCGTATGAATTTACATCTTCGGAAATTTTCAAACACTGTTGGAAGTATATTGCTGTATTTTAGGAAATGAATTCTCAAACACCTGGAAATATTATTCTTCCAGCAATTATATTCATCTCGATGATATTAAAATTGAAAATACTGATATTTAATAATGCATAGAGTAAGTAATGTAGTTTCTGATATCCACGAAAGATACCGCGCAGAAAATAATTGAAGAGTTAAGGTTATGGTTGTAAGAGCCGAGGCGTACATTTTAATTAAAGAAAAGAGTTACGATCTTATTACGAGGGGCACAATACTTATAAGCATGGTCACAGTTTTGCACAGTTTAATGCCTAGCAGGCAATGCATTACGCTGGTCATTAGGCGCCAGCACGCGCCCGTGGTATGCATAAATGCATCAGCAATGTCGGCTTTAAACCGACAAGAAAGTTATGCCCGAATTGCGTGTGTCTATTGCTCGAAACGATTTTATGCGCGAATCTCCGTAATCCGTATATCAATAAACTTCGCCATCACCGCTGCTGGTTATCATTATACTTGCTGATTTGATGTATTCACGAGTTACGGTATATCTTCCGTACAACCCCGGAAAACGGCTGTTCTCGTACGCACACCGAGTACGAAAGGACGACCACCGAGTTTCGGACACAAAGAGGGCCGCCATAACGAAACGAAAAGGTCGTTCCACGACGAATCCATCCCTCTATGCGCTCTATGGCGGCGAATTTATAGAAATTTAATCGCGTGATTCACGAATAATTAGGGAAGGTTTGTTTCGAATTTGTTTAAAAAATATCGTACCTTGATGATTTCTTATTATTTCTTCCTTTCTTTTATTTTCATCGATTGCGTTTTGTTTCAAGCTAAAATGATGCGTTTGTTTTATATCATATGTATTGAATATGAAATATTGTATCTAACAGCTTTTAATTAATAGACAAGAGTAAATAAAAATTGTAGAAGTACGTAGTAATTCATTTAGTCGAGATTTCGACTCTTTTACTGCGAGCTCTTCAAATATATAATTAACTAAAAAGAAAGGGGATTCAATATGAATACAAAGGTATGAAAAATAGTACAACATAAGCAAGTGAATGTAAAAAGTATGGAAAAATTGTATGATGAATTAATTAACAGCATTGTAAATTTGTGAAATCCAACCGTCCATTTTTTAATTAATTGCATGCCTGAAGAGGGCTCCAAGAAAGAGAACCAAATAGGAAAGCGACTAAATGAAGTACTCCCTTCGAGTCTGCAGGTTTTACTTGCCCTTATATATTAACAAGACGTTAATATGGAGTCACTATTGCAAGAAATAAGAGTATTTTAGGGGTAGGCATGTTTTAACGAATCATAATGACTTGTTAATGACAGAAATGGTAAACAGAAGGATCAGACCGTTCAAACAGGTATGGCTCGACCGAGCAATATGTATATCTTCATTTATTTTAGGAGTTCGATTTTTCAATACTTCGTACCCACCGTTTTTATGTTACACTTGTTCTTTAAAGTCTGCTACCTGAATTTCAATTCTTCCTAGCAATTTCTTTATTCGTTGACAGACGTTGAGTCGTCGAAACTTTAATTTTCCTGGTTCTGTTTACAATGCACGAGATTGGGATTCTCCAATATTAATCCCTCCTGTGCTGCTTTCAACGAGAGGACTTGGACGTTTGTTCATATTTCCTGTCAGTTCTCATTCCTTGAAACAATCCCGTTCCGGTTATAGGTCATCGAGAGACAGGTAACAGGTCGCTATAGCGGTTACGACGGCCTGCAAAATAATATTCGAACAGTCCCAGTTCCGAATCAAAGGGGACCATTACGCGACGCGCTAAAGCGCGACTCGCGTGAAAGAGGACGATAATGCTCGCGGCGGCGGCGGCGGCGTGGTTTCCGGGCTCGTTTCGTAGGTCGGCGAGGGTAGGGTAAAAGCGCGCGTGTTACAGAAATCGAGCACCGAAGGCGATCAAAAAAGACGGCGATAATGGCGGCTGCGAGTGGCTGACGTACGCCGAGGACCAGCGAAAATGTGCCGCGACGACGCCGCTAGACGGTTTTGCGCGCCGCCAGCACAGTCGCTTTCAAGTATAAGCGCTCGTTCGGACGCCGCGGCGGTGCATACATACTGGCAGTATTGTTTGGAAAGCAGCTCATCGCCAAGAGCCTCTCGTTAAATCTCCAAGAACTTTGTTCGCTCGACTCGACTCGAGATCAATACCGTTCCTAGTTCAGCTACACACGCAGCTACATGACAAAAGTTCTGAACTTTTGACCCGACCGGCGACCATTGTACGCCGACACACGTTTCTATTCCGCGTTCCCTATCTTCTGCCCTGTTCCCCGTGCATTCGTTCAGCGAGAGAAACGGGAGGACACAGGCTCAGGATGGCCATTACCATTTTGCGTGCGCCAGCATGTATCATGCAAGGCGTCTCTGCTAAAGCGTTACAGACTCTGGTTGTATTTCTCCGGCATTAGGATACGGAGCAGGTGGTCGATAGCGTGCACCAACCAAGATAGCTGAAAAAAATAGTTTAAGAGTTATTGGGGATTTTTTTAATCGACGACTAACGTGTGTATAATCTATGATCAATCGCACTTTTTCTTGGGAAAAATAGATCATTCATTTTTATTAGGTGCACAAATTATTTTCGTTGTTTTTAATTATGGTACGCGATATACCCTCGGAATACGAGAAATTTGAAATCTAGAATGTGAACATTCGCGGGGGATGAAAGAGAGCTGAAAACAAAAACATGGGAAAATGGAAGGATCGTGTGTATTTGGAATTTTTACGTTAAGTAATTTCGCCTTACAAATATTTTAATTATTTTTCACGTCAACGAGGCAAAAAGTTAGCTTTATAATTTTTTTTTTTATATACTTGTACTGAATCGGGAGCCTTATTGCGTAAGAACCTGAACTGCGTTTAAAATTTATTTTAGTATATTTTTAATTACAAAATCTTTCGTTATCAGCCACAAGCTTTTTCAGGTTCACTTTGTCTTGGTAAATTATTTCCTTGACGAGCTTCCAGTGGCCAGATAAATTCTGCAACTGGTCAGGTAGAACCTAAATTTTTATTTTCATAGTTTCGTCGAAAAATGTATTGAATTATTTATTACAATCGATAGTAGCTAAAAGTCATATGAAGATAGTAATAAGTTCATTATAAGTACACATATATTATAATAATTAACAATTCTTTATTTCATTTATTTATAAATTAGAATAATTAGAAATATATCTGAATCTAACTAGAACTATATTAGAGCTCTAAGCGGGGTGTCGTGGATCGTTACATTTTCGAATAAAATCGGGCTGGTTTGCTCGATCAGATCCCAATTAGAGCAAGAGAAATTAGGACAGGTACCAATTAACCTAACGATTTTTTCATGCGGCTGCAGATACATCGAATACGTCGTTCCATTCATAAAAAACTCATTTGAGACTTTTAATAACGTATTTTTTGCAAACCCTTCGAATTAGAACCATTTCAAGCGTAAAAAGCGTCAGTCATTTCTATTAGCAAAGTTTCTTGATAAATTAGTATTACTTAAGTATAATTAAATCTGTCTTGTCACTCAGAAAGTGTATGATAATACTTATTAATTACATCAGCTTACGTGACACGAAGCCTGGACAAACAATGAAATAATTTTATTTAAAAATTCTGATCACTGAATATTAATTCTATGGGTAATCAGTCCAACTACCTGTTATTAATCATGAATAATTATAATCCCTCGTACATACGTTGTTCTATCCAACTAAGCCAATCGACAAACTAGCTGGAATAATTAACAGCCAGGTAATCGTTGAACAGAATGTTTGTAAACAAACTTGGAATCCTATGGACATGATCTCTGCGTAAACCGATTATCGCTTCGTTCGTCTCGATTGAGGGAACGTTCATAGAAATTCAAACCATCATAAAGATGATACTCGCGTAACTGTTAATACATTTTCTGTAAATGTACGATTTTCGAAATTAATTGATTTTCTTCATTGTTTGCTTCTACCCGAGGAAACGTATTTTCCTCAAACTTTAAACTTTGAACTTTTAATCGTCGATAGATCATTGTTTTTCCAAAACGTTTCTGTGTCTCTTGTAGCCCCAAAGGCTGTCGGTCCCGTCCCCTTTCTTCAGAACCGTACGATCGACCAGCTCCTTCCTCGTCGTTTTCAGATCATAGGCCAACCCTAAATACGCCATAAATTCTATAAAAGCCGCGGTGGGATTCAGGCTGTACGCTCCCAATTCTGCAGTCTTGTAATCCCACGGGAAAGAATGATGGTAATTGTGCCAGCCTTCGCCTAAAGCGAAGTAAGACACGATCGCGTTCTCCGTAGGCTTGACCGTCCTACCGAAACAGAGAGACTCTGTAAGTTGAAAAGTTTTAATTAACTTAGGAGACTTGCCTGTTGTACGGTCGATTCCCCCACATGTGAGCGACACTGTTCACTGTAAAAGTGGCGTGCAACGACCAAACGTAACGAATCACCGTAGCGTAGAAGCTTAAGTGCCACGCTTCGCCCCATCCGTAAATTGGCACCAGTATAGGCACGAAGAAGCACAACGACAACATAATGATCTCGAAATACCTGCAACGTGACATAAAATCGTGAAAATCAACGAGTGTTCGACATTATGCATGACCAAACGAATTATTATGCAGTTTGGAATAGCATTTTCGCAGTCTAAGGGTCTGAAAAATCCCATAAGATCATTTCTGACATTCTTGTATGTGAAAACAATCTCATTCATTTTCCTAAAATTGCAAATAACAAACATCGATTCATCAGATGGTACGTAACTTTAATTATTTATATCGACTACACCCAAGATTTTATACATACGATTAAGAGCCTCTTACGAAAGCTCGATGAGATCGAAATCGGGCAGTGGGATCCCCTTGACAGTGATTTCGATTCTTTTTCGACGATTCGTCAAACGTTTGAAGACCGTTGGTTGATACGTGTCCTAGCTTTATCAGAGAACTGAGATTCAATACCGTTGTATTCTAGGTTCACCAGGAATATAGACAGGGTTTCGTCAACGCCAACGTCGGAAAACTCTTCGAAATACTATTCGTGCACGAAAGCTTCGAACAATATCGTTCGCTATACTTTAACACGTTTGTTCCTTGTGCAAGCCGCCGATGGATCGTGTTGCCTTTTGGCAAGACGCATTAAATCATGTGAAATAGTAGAATTAGATATCATGTCTCGAAGTAAGCAGAAAACCTTTGTTTAAATAAATACTCCCAGTGAGATATTTAATGAAATTAAAGCGCACGATACGTCTACCAAATATTGGGACTAACTTTCTCCTAAAAATTTTTATTCTTCAATTTTATTCTTAATCGGACAAAACTAAAGAGGTGGTCGTATTCCCGTGTCTTGAAACGATGATGAGACTAACCTTTAAAGGAACTCGAGGCAAACGGTTATCTCCTGATATTATAAAGAAATTATGGAGAAACTTCTTAAAAGTATTCAGCGTATTAGACCTAAAATTGCCGGAAATTTCAAGATCCGGTCTTGATATTCAAGAATACCCGTTCTCGTGATCGTCGTTAAGGAATTTCTCGCCAAGAAAAGCTTTACTGCCCTTAACCGACCACCTTGCTCATCGGATTTGGCACCGGTCAATATTTTTTGTTCCCCCAAGTTGCAATCCCACTCGAAACGTCGTCATTTTGAATTCATTGAAGAAATCCACAACAATGCAACGCGTGAGCCGAATAATACTCTGAAAACTGATTTCCACAGAGAAATTCAGAAGCCGTATGACCACGCCACGCGGCGTATAGATTTAAAGGAAGAGTACGCTGGAAGCTAAACAGGAATAAAGCTATTTCCTCCGATGTTACATTTTGTAAGATCATGATCGAGAAGCTTCCAATCGTTCCACGATTTTAATCGTAACGGTATTTCAAGACGAACCGATTATTCTTTAAGTAAATCATAATTACGTTCCTTAATTTTTCGAGACGTAGAAAATACTATACAACCGGTTAAAATTTATATACAAAGTAAGCCACGCAATTGATTATATTTCGAATTTGATAAAAAATAAAAAAGAATGGTATGATAATATTTTTTACAAGTGCAACGATGCATCTGAAACTCCACGAAACACTTGTACGTGAGAATATCTTACTTGTCGACGAATTGCAGTACAGGATCCGCACGGATGTCGCTCATGTCAATTTTGCTGCCATATTTCTTCACGGCCGGGTGTCGTTTAACCATCAACCAACCCACGTGGGAGAAGAAAAATCCACGAGTCGCGTCGTGCGGGTCCGCGACCGTTTCCGTGTACTTGTGGTGCGTTCTGTGGTCTCGTATCCAATTGTAGGTGCGCGTCTAATACAACGAAACGCATCGATCAAGTCGGGTGCAGCTATTTTTTATTACACGGAATAACACAGGGTAGAGGAATTGCGCTCGTTAGCTCACCTGGCCGGCTATGCAATATAAACAGACTAGAAAAATTCGCAGAGGAGTCTTGGCCGAGTAACTTCTATGCGCCCACAGTCGATGCATCCCTGCTGTTATTCCGTAGCCACAGGAGATTCCGTAACATATAGCTTGGAGGGAAAAGAATACACTATTTATACTATTTTTCAATATTAACGAACTTGGTATTCGCGAGAAAGAAACGAATAAAAAGCTTCCCTCTGTTTCGAGTAAAGTGTTTGGATACATGATGGTGTAAGTCAATCTTAATTGATTAATTGTAGATTGTATAAAATATTTTAATTTTCACGTACCACAGACAATTTTTACAATTCATGCAGAGTTTCTGACTCTATAAATTATAGATTAATAATTATATTATATATAATAAATATGTTATATTAAATATATAGATCTATTAATTTTGATATCTATAGTTATTAAAATTTATTAAAATATATCTATGGCTTGATAATATCTAATTATCTATGATTTGAGTTTCTCTTTAGACCACTATGATTCTCAACTGTTTATTGTGTAAACTATTTATTATAGATTGATGACGGTACGGATCGTAGAGTTTTCAATTGCAATCTGCTGCAAGATATAGACGATCGTGGCTGTTCTAAACGACGTTCAAACGAGGTTGGACCTATACTTACTCCAAATCCACGTCCAAAACTTGCCATCTCGATAACCGGTCGCGAAGCCGTAAATGGCCAGGAAATGAAGCAGTGCGATACCAATCACATTTTGCCATATTATCGGTTGCCTCTCTAAGGTTTGTCCTTTTGGTAGCTGACATGGCTCTGCGTCCTCTTCCGCGCTTTGACTGTCCTTCTTCTCTTCGTACTCGGTCACCGTCGAAATGTACATTTTGGAAACGAGACCCTCCACTCGAATTGCTCTATCGACTTGAAAATTACAAATTCTAATTATAGCACTGCTAGATACCAATTAAAATCGTCCAAATACTCCAAAATAAAGGACTGTGGAAAGAGTCCTTTAATTGTAAAATTTCTAAACTTGTTACAACTAGTATAATAATTTTTGTTAAAACTCACGTTGAATCTAGTGTACGTATTGTCTTTCTGTATAGTACAGAAATGCGAAAAATAACCGAAAGATAAATTTCGTAGAGGAATATAACTGCAATTTTATTGACCTTTAAAAAAGCATTTGTATTTAATTTCGAAAGTGATTAACTTTCAAAAGGAAATATATTCTCTAATGGATCTGAGAATTAAGAAAGATTCTTTTCTCATCAGCCTCCAACTGTTCCCCGACTCCGAATCTTAAAAACCATAATTCGGCTCAGCCTGATGCATCCTAACTCGCTAATATCAGCTTTCGTAGTTCTGGGAACATTACCATCGAGTTCAACGGCCACGCGGAAGGTATGGTAAAGTTTCACTCGAAGTAATTTTTCAATCGAGACAAGCAATCTCGGCGTTAAACGATAGTATCCTAATGCGGCGTGAATACGATAAAACACCTAATGCTCCTTACAAGCAATTAACTACTTTCCCTCTTCACGTAATGAGCCCGCTTCGCTGCGGATATCGAAAGCGAGCGAATCGAACATCCGCAAATGGCCTGGAACAATCTCGCCTTGGTGATTTTAATGCTTCTGCTTGAACACACGCACCGACAATCACCTCGTCCTTTACACTTTTTATCGCTAATACACGCCCACGAACCGACCGTTGCAAGCATACCGCAAAGTTAGGCAAATTATACCCGTACAAATAAAATTAGAAAATAGAAAACAACACGAGCGTCGAGAATTGAATTTTTCTGGATGAGAAGAAAGCATTGGTGATTTTGGATCATTAACAGAATTTTTATTTAAATTATTTATTATTATTTAGAAAGACATATACTTCTATGGTACTATGAACTTTTCAATAAACTCTCCTCGATTGTAACTTTGTAATAATTCTTGTTGTTCGTTGCAAGTTAAAGCAAAAAGTTTACTATAAGTCACCCTTATTTGGACTATATCTCAAAAGTGAGAAATAGAAAAACAACTTTTAGAGGGAAAAGTTAAATGGTATGGTAATATCTATTCTCAAATGTCCTTTTATTGGAACAACGCCCAACTTTGATACACAGTTTAAGATTTATCGCGATTACTCGATCATGGATTCGACAACACGCTAGAACACAATCGAAGAAATTCATGGGATTCGAGGGAAACTAAACTCTCGATATTCTTGGCGAGTATATTGCGTTGGGTACCGAGTTCGATCAAAAAGTTTAATGCGCTCGAAAACGACTTCCTGTAGCTCGAACCCCTGCCTCGAGAGATTAGAAAGATATTCCCGAAACACTTTCTCAGTCTGTTCCATCGATTTAGAACAGAATGGGTACAGTAATTTCTCACTTAATTCTGCTCCTTTCGAGCTTGGACATTTAATAACCTTTTAATAGAACACCAGATTCGTACGACGTTTTTTGACTTTGATTAATTGGCTTTAACCCTTTGACTGCGACGTATTCTAACCCAGAAACAAATCATACATTTTAAGAATATAAAAACATCAAAGCAGTTATCGATGTCCAAGTGTATATTAATGGACTATCAATTTTCTTTGATCGAGGGTAGAGAATTTGGTGAATGTTTACGAAAGTCATTAATATTTTTTCAAGATATAATTATTATAAATCAGAGCAACCGGAATCAGTACTTTTCGGTTGTCGTGATCTGAGTTGGTGTGATATAATTTTGCAAGACAATAACTATAATAAAATAAATTATAATTTCTTATTGAGTCGTCTACAGCCACAGGGAAAGTCGATGCTCGCGTGCGGTGGAACCTTGCTTGCGATGATGTGAATTCATGCTAAAACTCAAGATTTCTAACGATTAGATTGCGGAAGTTTATAGAATGTCGTAAATATGCAAAGTGTATGCAAAATATATGTGAAGTATGTGCACGATAAACGCAACAAAAATGTACTTTCGTGGGTACCAGAGAGTTCGTACAATTTTGTTTAACATCGAAATTATTTTTTTTTTTTATTATCGGGCGAGAATTGACAACGTGTGCCAAAAAGATAAGTTCAAATGCTGCGTATAATCCCTTTAAATCATACAATTTTATCAAGGCGCGTTTAAATTTGCTCCAATGTTGATAATCTGTGCGCGATGTATAATATTTAGATTAAGCATGTTTATGCATATAACGTATGCAAAGGACATATGAGATTTATACGCGTAAAATATACATATATGCATGAAAAATATAACGGTAGAGTTGCTTGTAGTAAGCATACATAAATGATGCCCAAGGAATCGATTAATGTTCGCCAAAGGCTTTGTTAATCAGAGAATACACACGATGAAACGACGATACGACTTGCACGATCAAGAACTTTAAATAGAAATTAATTTTTACTAATAAGATTTCGGAGAAGAGCTTATATTTAAATAATTCGTAACACAAATTAGGATTTCATATTATTTCTGGAAAAGTTTCTGTTTTCTAATGCTTCAATTAATTATAAAAATGCCGTGCTAGCCGAATATTAACGCGATCGCTGTATTTGGAAATCGGCGGTGTAGTCAGTAACGTAAACATTTACCCAAAAATTTGTTCTGCCCACGAATTCAAATAGGTCTCTCGTACAGGACAGCAAATGAGACGCGTCATCGAGCGAGCGAAACTTCAAAGCAACGTCGACCGCGTATCGGTGTGTTAACACTGTGAGAATCAAAAATTTCGTCTATTTTTCATTATATTCTTTCCAGAGAAAAATTAATCTATCTGTGAGAATTTTCCAATAAAAATAAATCTAAATTTTATTCGCACGTATACGTATTTCAAAAACGCTATTATTAGAAATTCCATAAAACAACAGGCACAACCATCGAGCTATCGAGAATGTTTAATTTTCAATTCGAACAAACGCCAACGCGTTGAAGCTAAAATTCCATTTTGAAGCCAGAAAGTATGGTTAGATCTTAAATTTCATTCGTACGTGTACGTATTTTAAAATCGTTTGCTGTTATTAGAAATGCTATAAAATAACAGGCACAACCATCGAGTTATCGAGAATGTTTAATTTTCAATTCGAAGAAACGTCAACGCATTGATACTAAAATTCCAGCTTGAAATGAGGAAGTATGGTTACATTTTAAATATGGTTAGATCTTAAATTTTATTCGTACGTGTACGTATTTTAAAATCGTTTGCTGTTATTAGAAATGCCATAAAATAACAGGCACAACCATCGAGCTATCGAGAATGTTTAATTTTCAATTCGAACAAACGTCAACGCGTTGATACTAAAATTCCATTTTGAAGCCAGGAAATATGGTTACATCTTAAATATGATTAAATCTTGAATTTTATTCGTACGCGTACGTATTTTAAAATCGTTCGCTATTATTAGAAATTCCATAAAATAACAGGCATAACCATAGAGTTATCGAGAATGTTTAATTTTCAATTCGAACAAACGCCAACGCGTTGATACTAAAATTCCAGCTTGAAACGAGGAAGTATCGTTACATCTTAAATATGATTAAATCTTGAATTTTATTCGTACGTGTACGTATTTTAAAATCGTTCGTTATTGTTAGAAATGCCATAAAATAACAGGCACAACCATAGAGTTATCGAGAATGTTTAATTTTCAATTCGAACAAACGTCAAGGCGTTGATGCTAAAATTCCAGCTTGAAATGAGGAAGTATGGTTACATCTTAAATATGATTAAATCTTGAATTTTATTCGTACGTGTACGTATTTTAAAATCGTTCGCTATTATTAGAAATTCTATAATTTAACAAGCACAACCATCGAGCTGTCGAGAATGTTTAATTTTCAATTCGAACAAACGTCAACGCGCTAAAATTCCATTTTGAAGCCAGGAAATATGGTTACATCTTAAATATGATTAAATCTTGAATTTTATTCGTACGTGTACGTATTTTAAAATCGTTCCCTATTATTAGAAATTCTATAATTTAACAAGCACAACCATCGAGCTGTCGAGAATGTTTAATTTTCAATTCGAACAAACGTCAACGCGCTAAAATTCCATCTTGAATCGAGGAAGTATGGTTACATCGTCGCGTTTCATCAATTTTATCAGCTGCCCTACTTCCCGAAACGCGACCGAAATATGTTTCGAACAGATGTCCGACTTTATATTAATAATTCAATAAAACCGATGACACACATGCAGCCCAATACCTGCGGCATCTGATCGTAGCATAAAACTGCAACGCTCGACGTCTGCGACTTCCGAATACGCTGTGCGCCAGTCAGTTCTTTGATATATGGAAAACTTCCTTTTCCTTATCCGTCGTGTCTGCGATGGCTCGGTATTGAACGAATTGTTATTTCTAGACGCTACATACCCGAGCAAGTATCTTCTTTTAATAATTCATCGGTTCCAGTCTATTCCTATCGAGGCTGGGGATCATTTACTTCCTTCCACGTAATAATAACTTCTTTCATTCTGAACTTTCTCCCATTTCTCTGTTAATCCAACGTCACGTTCCTCGTACAAAAGACAATAATAGATAAGTTACTAAATTCACAATTATCTATCCTTCGATTCATCGTGTTAAAAGAGCCCATAAATTCATCGCTTCTTTTACGCTTCTGTATATCTTACTACTTGATAAGGGTGATTTACAAGCGAGGCTCTCCCATGCCTAACGATTTAGAAAAAGCTTCGAAAAAGTGAGAGTGCTCGAAACTTTCGAGCCGTGTCGTATATCAGATGGATGTAAGTAGATACGTAAAACTTGTAACCCGTACGTTTTGACGCTGGCAGAAGTTAATTAACTTGATCGACGCTGTGCAACAAAGTATACACCGCACCGCTAATCGTTCTTCCCATTAATTTGTTGAGCGCGTT